ATGGGTGAAAGTTTGGGATTTTTGGGGTAGTAACCTAGGGTTTTTTATAAAGTTGGGAAGTTGGACCTCGAATTGAGGTCCGATTTCAAAACAAATTATATAATTTAAACTCGTGGGGGAATGGGTAACCAGATTTTGGTTCGAACCTCGAGTTTTGACCACGTGGGCCCGGGGGCGTTTTGGGAAATTTTGAGTAAAACTTTGGGAAAATCGTTTTATGCATTCAAACTAATTCATATAGTGTTTGTTTATGTTATTGAGCAATTTGTGATTAGATTCGAGCGAATTGGAGGTGGAACCGCGAGGTAAAGCAATAGTTGAGGATTAAGTGGATTTCAAGGCTTTGAGGTAAGTGTTTGGTTTAACCCTAGCTTGAGGGAATAGGAGTTGAATCTTGTTGTTAATTGCTATGTGATCGAGTACGATGTATAGGCATGGTGACGAGTATCTATACATTGGTGTCTAGCATGACCGTGAGTCTTTATAATGTAATTATTGTGACTTGGTTGTGAACTCCGTGTCTATTGGAGGATTTCTAGTTGTTGTGAATAATATGTGAACGATAATATGATCACTTGATTCCTGGGAGCATTGGCTCGGATTGTGATACGAATATTGAAAGTATACGAAATGACTTGATTCTTTGGAGCGTTGGCTCAAAATAGTAGAGTGAATTTTAAGATAAGGAAAGTAAGAAAGAGAAAGCTTTGTTGATTATTCCCTTGTCGGGACGTTTGGTTGAACTTGTTGGATTCTTTCCCTTGCCGGGATGGTTGTCAAATATTTGCTTATTTATGCCCCTTGATTTTGACTGTTGTTTGGAAAGTCGGACTGTTAAATGATATTGAGGATCGGGTTGCGCGCCGCAACAATGATGTTGAGGATCGGGTTGCGCGCCTCAACAATAACATATGAGGATCGGGTTGCGCGCCGCAACAATGATAAATGATAAATAATGTGGGTCGGGTTGCACGCCGCAACAGCAGTATTATGGAGCGGGTTGCACGCCGCAACAATGGTAATTATGGAGCGGGTTGCACGCCGCAACAGTTGTTGACATCATGTGTTTATGTCTGAATATTAATTTCGTATTTCATTGTGGATTTCTAGGCTGTTTTAGTTGTTACTCTGGATTGTTATTATTGTATCTCCCCATAGCATGTTTCCCCTCCCATGATGTTAATTACTTGGTATTCAATTTCCGCTGTATATATTTATAACTGCACAGGTTTATGTGGTGTCCAGTCTAGCCTCGTCACTACTTCGCCGGGGTTAGGCTAGACACTTACCAGCACATGGGGTCGGTTGTGCTGATGCTACACTTCTGTGCATTTTGCACAGGTCCAGGTTTTGAGGAGCAGCAGCAGCAGTAGTACGGGAGCAGACTTCCATATCACGAGACTGAGGTAGCCTTGCAGGCGTCCGCAGGCCCGGCGTCTCTTCTTTATGTTTTTCTTTTGACTGTTGCCTCATTGTTTCGAGACAGACAACTGTTATAATTCTTTCAGACCTTTGTATTTAGTTTATTCTTAGTGGTTCGTGAGTAATGTGACACCAAATCTTGGGTAGAGGCTATTGTTGACTATTCCGCGTTTTGATTCAGACTTATAAATTAGACTTCCGCTATTATTATTATTAAATTCCATATTTCTTATTGATGCTAAAGACTGTTAATAGATTTATTTATTAATTAAAGGTAAATAAGTTGGCTTGCCTAGCTACCACGAGTAGGCGCCATCACGATCCCGATGGTGGGAAATCCGGGTCGTGACAAACTTAAAGTGCTTATAAGCTAAATATTCATAAGCTGGGGGTGATCAACTTATGGCTTTTGACTTATTTTTTACTTATAAGTACTTGGCTTATAAGCACTTTTAACTTTACCAAACGCGTAGATAAGCCGAAAAGTGCTTATAAGCTAGTTTGACCAACTTATAAGCTTAGCCAAACACCATCATATTTTTGAGCACTTTTGATCTTCTACATTTATCAAAAATAAACACGTTTAAATTTGACACTCAGAATTTATTAAATATTTGACTATTAGAGATAATGTGTTCGCTTTAATTAAATTGGGCAAAAGCTATTCAAAAGTATATTTAGAACTATTTTTTTATTAAAGCATAAGGGATCGCTTTTGTGAGTCCGAAACTTAAATAGTGATTTTTTGGGCACAAAATACATTTTTACTGTTAAAAAAAAAAGTTTACAAAACTACATAATTCGCAGTATAATACTGCGAATTACTTTAACGGAAAGTTAGCCGTCAAAGTTATTCGCAATATTATACTGCGGATTATTAAAATAATAATTTTTTAACACTTCGCAGTATAAAACTGCGAACAACACTTTGCCCACCAAAATAAAGAAGCAACGTTGGCTCCTAACTTCCTGTGGTCCCCTGTGTTACTTTTGATTTTTTTTTGTTCATTTTTTATTCATATAATTCTCCATTGATTATTATTCTTTTTTACTTAAGTTCTTTCCTCAATATTTTAGTACAACATGCTTTCATAACTAATTTTCAAATGCCAATCTAAAATAAAGGGAAAATCAAGTGTTCGTTTTATTGCTAATTAATATGACATCCTTGCTATTTAATTACATTTGAAAATATTTTATTCATTCTATAAGGATATAATTTTTATAACTTACTGAAATTAACATTGAACTATCAAACTATTATATAAGTAGAATTAGAGAAAGTATAACAAAAAGAATTAGACAAAGTATTCGAATAACTATTGAAAAAAAGAAATTATTTTAATATTTATTTTACTCGCACTTATCTATAAAAAATTAACATCTTAATTTGTGCCAACTGAATCAGTATTTTAAAAGGCGTGGGCGTAAGGGGAGGCGTTTTATATATGCCTCAGCAAGACGTAAGCCCCGAGGCACTGGGCGTAAGCCCCATATGTATTTAATTTTTAATATTTTTATAATATAATTATAGTAAATATTTATAAACAAGTAAAATTGCATAAAAGTTGAAGAAAACTATAAAAATGTGAAATATACATTATATATATATATATATATGACATCTTCTATATATTTTTATATATATTTATGGACTATGATGTTCGCGTCAGTTTACGCATATCCCGATTATATCTATGGAATATCTGCTATTTATGGTTTGGTGTATTACATGTTTTAAAAGGGTAGTTCTCTCTTTATACATGCTTATCCATGTATTAAAAATAATGACATTACTATTTACTAATGCCATAATCTGCTATATATAAGAATAATAATGAATAGAGTGAATAACTAGTAAGTACTAATTATACATAATTTACGTGAACTTTTACTAATACTTTTTTCAGTTTAGATAAGTATGTAATTTTATCAATTTTCCTTCAGATAAGATTGGCAATATTAAAGGGTGCGTTTTTTTCTCGTCTGAAAATTTCATATTATTAACATTTGACCAAAGGCTTAAGATGTAATCGTTATTATTACCAAGTTTCAAATTTTGTGCCAAATAAAAATATTTATTAGCGATACTCTCTCCAGTCCAAAATAAGTGATTTTTTGGATGTTTTCACACAGATTAAGAAATCCACCTTTTAGCATTAATTAGTAATAAAATTGACCATATTAACCTTTAATTAGCATTAATTAGCAATAAAACGAACACTTGATTTTTCCTTATTTTAGATTGGCATTTGAAAGTTAGTTATGAAAGCATGTTGTACTAAAATATTGAGGAAAGTAACTNAGTTAGGAGCCAACGTTGCTTCTTTATTTTGGTGGGCGAAGTGTTGTTCGCAGTTTTATACTGCGAAGTGTTAAAAAATTATTATTTTAATAATTCGCAGTATAATACTGCGAATTACTTTAACGGTTAACTTTTCGTTAAAGTAATTCGCAGTATTATACTGCGAATTATGTAGTTTTGTAACCTTTTTTTTTAACAGTAAAAATGTATTTTGTGCCCAAAAAATCACTATTTAAGTTTCGGACTCTCGCTTTTGTCATTTTTTTCAGAATTCCTACAATAATGACACCACGACAATCATCTCTCTCCTACCTTGTCAAGTGTCAACATAGAATGGACTAGTACTAATTTTGCCCCCTTAGAAACCAATAACTTGAAAATGACTTCAACAAACATTGAGGTTACATTCTCCTAGTTAACATTTAAATCCGTAGATGTCACGTCAAACGCTTACTTATAGGTTTTGTTTGCCAACATATATTTTACTTATGTAAATCTATTTACTTTTTGGTCCGTTCAAAAAAAAAATAATCCCTTTTTAACTTGTTTAGGACCACAAATTCCAAAAGTCTTCATTTTTTTTAAACTCCGTACCCAGTCAAACAGGTTCACATAAATTAAAACGGTACTCCCTAATATCTAATACTACTATGTTTGCTCCCAATTGATCTGATACTACCTCTTTCGCGTGATAGTTAACTAGATTATCGTTGATCAAAACAAGGAAGGTTATATACCATGGATAGCTGCAAGTCCAAAGTATTGCTGAATTTGCTGCTTATCGAGCTAAATCTATAGTACCAAATTATACATGTCATTCTACGAATGGCGCATTTCTTCTAGACTAACATTATTATGCACCATCTTGAACTTCCTGTCCTAATAACCGAGGCCGCTTTTCAAAGATTTGGGATGGCCATACATCAGCTGGAGTGGGATATCTGGCCTGTGGTTTCTTCACAGTAGATGTGGGCGTAGCCGTGGACTTTGTAGCATCGGGCGCTGGATAAACGTGGGAATTAGAACTAAACGGAAAGACATAAGCAGGGTTCATAATTTGTGTGTCTTGAAACGCATGTTCTGAAGCAGGTAAGCTCATATAATTATTTTGTAAGGCGAACTCTGGGTGCTGAATTTCTGGAGGAGCTAGATTTAGGTCGAGATTGGTCTTGGCTTCCCTTGCTTTGACCTCATTCTGCAGTCTGCCAATTTCAGCCTCCAGAGCTGAAGTTTCATCCTGAAGCTCCTTTTTCTCCACAGTCAGCTGTCAAGAAGACAGATTTAGGAACATGTATCACAGTGTAAAATCCGAGAAAGTCGCTAATGCAGATTAGAACAGCTTAACAGCTGAATAAATAAGAAGCTGTCGTAACTTTAACATGCATACACTACAAATGAGTGGATTTAAACATTCTGAATGGGGAATGGAGGCAGAAGCAATCATGCATATAAAATAAGAAAGAAAAACAAAGAACAGCGTCTCCAAGCTAGCAGAATTCATAGAAATTAGGACACTTACATACTGAGATTCAGACAGCAAAGTTGTATTTTCTGTCCTCAGATGCTTGATATGAGAAAGCATGTCCTTTACAAATCGAGCAGCTTCATTCAAGATGGAGGCTTTTCCATTCATCTGCTCAGATAGTTCTGCAACAACAAGGCATCTCTGTTAAAAAATTGGCAATATCTAAACTGAAAATGTAGAAATATTAAATAGAGGAGCTACGTTTGGGATTTATCAATGATGAAAATGGTAAAGTTAAATAAGTAGCATTCAAGACATTACCAAGAGCATTAGCCAAACCAAGGAAAAGCTCATTTAGATGCTCTCTCTTCAGCTTCTCTCTCTCAGCTTTATGTATTCTTTTTGGGGCTTTCTTCTGATTCTTCTTGCCAAGATGAGAGCTGTAACAAGAGAGATTTACAGAATCAGGACTCACTGTAGAAGTGCCACTGATAATGATCAGTAGAGCAGTCAAAATAAATATATGAGAATGAGTACACAAATTATTACTGTACTTATACTGAGATTTGGAAACCTTTATGCGGATCCAAAGAAATAAGAACAGAGTTATGAAGAGGCAGAAGTACATTCTCTAAATTTTTGGGAGGAACTTTTGCAATTTAGTCAATTTATATCCAAAACTCCAGATTCCGTTTTTCCTGTTAAATAGGTAATTCCAGATATCTATTTTTATTGCGATGCTGTGATTAGCATTGTAGAGCAGGGTAACAACTTCCAGGTAGTTCATTTGGGGGAAGCTGGGCCAAGATCATGTATTGCTTGAAACAGATCAGGCATCAGTTACGATGGGTTCTCAAACTTGAAGACTGCATTCTGTTCAAAATCTTCAGATCCTTCCATGAACAATAAGGGAAAGATCACCAAGACATCAATTCACCCGACAAGCCTAGATGACTAATTGGTCTATAGCTTCTTCTACCCAGTAATTCACCAAGTATTCACTAAACAGTCTAGCTTCTTCTACCCGGCAAGCATAGATGACTGGATTGATTAACTGAGGACGATAGCTCAGCTGTAGAGATGGCAATGGGGCGGGGCGGTTTGGCAAAACGCACAAAAATTTCAACCCGCCCCACTTAATTTTTTTTCTTTAATTTTTTTTTCTAAAACAAACTAGTTTGACATTTTATTATTTTATAAAATGGAGAGTTTAATAGAATCACATAAACATAAACTGAGAGAGTATTACGCTCATCTTCCAAAATAAATGGGTTACTATCATTTCCTATTACTAATACGATATCTTGACTTATGTAATATCATTTTGGTGAGACTTATGCAAATTGGTTATTTATAAATCAAAATATTCGTGCTAGTGAAGAAGAATGTGAAATTGTAGTTGAAATGATTGCTTTGTTTCAAAAAAGATAAAATTCAAAGTTGCCCCGCATTGAACCCGCATTAAACCCGCAACCGCCCCGCTTTAAAAATTTTAAAAACTATTTTAACCCGCCCCCTACCCCACCCGCCCCGCTCCGCTCCCGCATAAGAGTAAACCCGCTCTGCCCCGTCCCGCCTCGCATCAAACAAAACCAACCCCGCCCCGCCCCATTGCCATCCCTACTCAGTTGGATCTCTTCGAGAGATAAAAAGGAACAGACCCTCAATATTATCAACTTTTGCCAGTTGGAGAAAATTGCCGTCTTACTCAAAAGATTTTATTGCTTAGTTCAAAAACTTGCAGAAAGGACTAAAATTTCTTGCTGAAAAATTACAGGGTTTGCAAAGAGAAAGCTAAAATTCTTTGGATTATATAATTAAGCATCCAAATCACTATGCAAACTGCCAAGAAGCATATAGTATCTTCCAACTTATGGCGAGATATCTACAAATTGAGTCATTGGGTAAGGTGGTTTTGAGCTTTTGCATAACGCAACTGTCTTTAACCATAGTTTCTGGTATCATCAATCCCGAAAAGATTCACGCCCAAACTAGGCCAACAAAAACACAAGCAATTTTTCTAGTTATAAAAAAATTCAAATACAAAGAACCTCACCCTATCCAGACACAAAGATCACTCAATCCGTGGGCACAAAAATCTGTTATTAGGGGTCTATGCTCTTGAATATATTTAATCAGAAGCCAAGCTTCAAATAAGAAGCTGTTTGGCATCAACTCTGTATACAAACCAAATCATAAGTTAAAAAGTACTGTAATTAAAAGGTAAGCCACATGCTTATTGCAGATTCCAAAACTTCAAAAGAAAATAGAACAATATGACATTCATGCTACAAAAAGTGATCTTGATCTAAAAGAACTGACCTATCTAGCGAAGTCTCCACAGCTTTAGTATCCTTTTCAAGTATTGGAGCAGGACTTTCTGTATCCATCTCTAATTTCAGTCCACCTTGTAGGTGTCAATGAGAAATGCTACTGGCCGTCTTATGAAAAGGAGAAAAGGGGACAAAAGAAAAGGTATTATGCTTAGGATAAGATACCCAGTAGATCAAAGACGGACGAGCAACGTGACCAAGGTGTTACAATCAAGCTAAATTCATTTGAATGTAACTAAATTGCCGTGCCAGCACGGTATACTTCATAAACTCGGGAGAGTGCTGATCACTACTATACAATCCATTTCCCTACTTTTTGCTATTAAACAGCAGAATACAAGTTGTACTGTTTAAATCCAGCGTCATTCATTGATTAAATTGAGGTAACTCATGAGAAACAGAAACCTAAAAGAAATTAACTCTTTGTTTCAGAACGTTTTGTTGGAAACAGCATCTAATCCCCATATACGTATATAATATTTATTATTCATTCACCAAAGCAAGAACAGAATTTTGTACAAGAAGCCCCATGAGTTATGCACCTCTACCTCTCTCCAAGTAAAATATGTACGGCACTAACATTCAAAGCCTAAAAGAATTTCGTAAAAGAAGCCCCAAAGAATTAGCATCCTAAATGAAGTAAATCAGTATGAAAAATGAAAATTAATAACCAAGGGGATTCATAGCAAGACGAGACGAGGCATTACAAACCCCCGAAAATTCGGGCTAAAATGAAGAAAAACTAGAAGAATCCGTTAAAAGAGCAATAAAAACGTCTAAGCAGGTAAGAAAGAAATATGAGAGATATGTACCTCTTTGGTTCTTCGGAATGATTTGAGAGTTGCAAAATAAAATTAGGGAAGTTGGAGAAGAAGGATGTTTTTTTTTATAATTTATTTATGTAAGAAGAGGAAGGCGTGTGGCGAGCAGCTGCTGGTGGAGATTATAAAATGCGGAACACATGAGAAGCGTGCCACGCGAGTTATGTTCTTTTGTCATATAGCAAAACCGTACACGTTCCATGCTTGCATTTTCCACTGGCTTCGCCGCTTTGCCCATACTATACATTTCATTCTTTATTTACGCTCACACACGTCACACAACCCCTCCTCAATCCTCTCTTCAGTTATTAAACCCAACTCAATCTTTATCCTCCTTTCATGCTCTCTTGGCTCCATTAAAATTTGATATTCCGCACTTACCCGTAAAATAGAGATACATACAAACTAGTACCTACTTAGAAATTAGATCAACCTTACCACTCGATACAATTTTCACATCTTAAACATATGTAAAAAAACAATTACAGAAATTGAGTTTAAAAAATATAAACTGGGGAGGTATATTCACTTGAGCGGTCCTTGTTCGGATTGCGATAGCAACCAAACTATTGTCGAAATATAAACATTAACTCACATTGAGCATTTGAGCTATATGTTTCTAACCTTTTTCTTTGTTCATCTTATTATAAGTATTGAGCATTTTCAACGGTCACACTGTTTACCGTAAAAATTAGATAACAATTAAACTTAGAATGTGGCTCTAAGGATATGTGATCTCACCTATTGCCAATTGATGAATAAGAATATCAATAATAGAAATTAACAATGAGATAAAGCAAACCAGTGTTGAAACGTAATTCAGCCCTCGAGCTTGAGTGTCCTCGAACTGGTCGGTACCCAAATAGTTAAGAAATAAGCAAACTAATGAACAAGGATATAAGCTAGACAGAAAGTATTGTACTGTTTTGATATGCGTAAATGTAAGGTGCCTACAAAATGATTAGAACCCTCTTTATACAGTAGAGGAATCGTATCCATGGTACAATTCTAATTACGGAAGTAAATCCCATGATTAGCCTAAACAACCGCCTTGATTTGATCTGTTTCCGAGATTTCCGCCACGATCTTCGACCAGTCACGGATATCTCGCTTTTCTGTTTTTGCACTTTGCTCGAAGTCTGCCCTATTTGGTCTCGATTGCTACTGGCCTCAATCTCGACAGGCACCTCGATTCTCGAACGCGGTACCTTATCCTCGTGTTTTGGTCTGATCCACTACGAGGCCGACCTTTGATGCAACTCCCTGGTCTCTATCAAATAGTAAAATCGGGTAGGCCCGGTTTTAACCGTATACAGATAGTCCCCTCATTTTTTGGAGTGTAATGAGAAGAAACGAATTGAGCCTCGACCTGTCATGACGTCATTCTCGTGACGTAAGCGACGAGACTGAAACGTCCCGTCGGTACAGTTCCCCAAGTCATTAATGAGCGTCAGTTGGCGGTCGGCCACCAGTGCCTTTGAACCGTCGCCGTGAATCCCTTAAATAGGCCCCCTCTCTTATTGAGTCAATCTTTACTTTCACTTTATTCTAATCTCTTAAGCTTTTACATCTCTTAAGTTCTTCCTTTCTTCAAAATCTCCAGGGTTTGTTGTTAATCTCCTTTCAAACACCAAGTCCTGTCATCTCCCTCTCTCTTTAAACTTACACAAAAATGGCAAGAATGTCAAAAACTATTCCTCAAAAGGAAAATGCCTTTTCATCGCAGCCGGCCGCCAATAAAACATCGGTAGAGCCGCGCCCTGAGGAGTGCATTCCGGAGGGGTGTCCTTACTTCCGACTTCAAGGTCGAGAAAACTTCGTCGGTCCCTGGTCGATGCGAGCCAATGTCGAGATATATATATATATATATATATATGCTCGATAATCGAGAGTTTCATTAAGCAGGTAAAGAAAGACTATAACTGGGGAGGCAAAGAGGTGGTGATTCCGACCCCCGAAGAAGACATCACTACCCATGTGGAAGGGTTTCTAAGTGTTTACACTTACCCTTTCACGCTGGGCCCTCTTGATCCCGTCATCGTCGATTTTTTGCCGTCAATATCAAATAACCCTAGGTCAAATCCATCCCTCTTTTTGGCGGATTGTTATTCTGCTCCGATTCTTTGCGAGCAAAGTCGAGGGGATGCCTTTCACCCTCAACCATCTCATCAGGTTGTATACCCCCGTCTCTATCTAGGCGGGTTAATAAAACTTCAGTGTCGGGCTACCAAAGTGCTGTTCTCGAGCATCAGTGAGAACACGGATCGAGGATGGATAGGCCGATTCGTTCGAGTGAAGACTTCCGACCTAATCCCGGTCGAGAAGATGCCATTTCCCGAGAAATGGAATATGAAGTGTAAGTACAATCCCACCTATAGATTCCATTTATTATTTTATTTCCTTTACTTCTTCTCATCGACATCCTTTTATATGAGCGGTCTCTTGGATGCCCGGTGCAATTCCTAACCTCGAGAGTTGGGTTCGGAACCTGGCTTCGACCTCTTTGTACGCTGAGCGCTCATGGCGTGATTTAAGGGGCCGATGGGAGGCCAAAAATCATGGTAAGACCCTTTTCTCGTATTTGATGATTTTTGCTAAAATGTTTCTTTTCACACTCACTTAATTTCCTTTCATACAGGCCTTGGAAAAGACGCTGTCATGAGGCCCCCGTTCGGGGAGGAGGAGGTTTCGCCCCCGGCTCCGAAACCAGCGAAGGATAAAAAGAGAAAAAGGGCCTCGACCTCTGAGGATCCAAAGACCAAGAAAAGTAAGGCTCGTAAGCTGAAGAAAGACATCGTCCCGCTGCCTGCTGAGGTAGCTCAGCAACTAAGAGAGGAAAAAGAAGAAGATGAAGACGACGGCTCCGAACTGGTTGCCCGAGTGAAGAAAAACACCGAGGCCCCAAAGGCCGCTGAGTCGGTGAGGGTTGAAAAGATTCAGCCTCGAACTGAGGAGGTCTTGGAAGAGGACCCGGGCAAAGTCCCCGAGTCGTCGGAGACTGAAGAAGCCTCCCGCCGAAATGAGCAATCGGTGGGTATGTCTGAAGGGGCCGGCTCCGAGGCCCTTCGAAATGAAGAGAACGCCCCAAGTGACTCGCTTGGGGAAATAGTAATTGGAGATTCTCCGACCCTCCCTACATTTTCTGAGGAGGCAATTTAGGAAGCCCAAGCCATGGGGACCCTCGATGTGGAAGGAGCCCACAGAGGGGAGGACCTTTTCCGTGGGTATTGGGTCGAAGATGCTGCCAACATGATTGAAGCATCGAGTCTCTTCGATGAGGCTCAACAAGCCTTGAGTCGGGTAAGTCCCAATTCCCCTTGTTGATATCACACTTGTATTTGTTTATTCTTTTCTTGTCTAATTTCCCTTTTCATTTCGCATAGGCCTAGGCACTTTTTAAGGAGGCATTTTCCATATCTCGAACAGAGCTGAGCCGATGTGAGGCCGATCTTCAAAGGCTCACGGAGGAGAGAAATTCCCTCAAACTTCTCTGCGGGAAAAAAAAAGAGACCAAGGGCCTCCGAGCCGAATTAGCCACGGCTCATAAAGAGCAGACCGACCTGATTGAGAAGGTAATGAAAATCTTAGAAGCTCAATGTATCAGTTCGGGGACGATGACTAATACTTCGATCTTACAGGTTCAACGAAGGCCAAAAAAATCGAACAGCTCCGTGAGGAGGTTAACATGATGAGGGCGAAGACCTTGGGGTGGAAACAAAACATGGACCGCTTTGCCTCAGAGAAAGATGCTGCTCGAGCCCAACTGTCATCGGCCGAAAGTCAGCTTCAAGGCATGAAGGAGGAAAGCTCAGCTCAAGCTAAGAAAATAGAGGAGCTTGAGGCTCGGTTGGCCGCTGAACTTGCGAAGGTTAAATCTGAGGCAGAAAAAGTAAAGGCTGACGCAGAGGCGATCGTGGCCGTCTACCAATCTGATGCTGAAGCTGCTCAAGCCCAAGCAAGGGAATCTTCCGAGGCCGCTCAAAATTGAGCTTTTTGGATTGCCGAGCTCGCCAAGTGCCAATCTCGGAGGGAAACTCTCGAGGAGATCCATGCTTGAGGTTTCGATCTTACTGAAGATATAAGGAAAACCAAAGAGCTTGAAGACGATGCCAAGGCATTGACCTCCTCCGATGGTGACAATGATGCCGGAAGTATGAGCGACTCCGAGAGTGGGGACGACCCCGATGGAGAGGGAGCTTCCCCCGAGAATAATTAGGAACCTTAGGATTTTTTTTCTTTTTTTGATCTTCTGTGTAGGGCCCTGATCTGTCCTTGTAAATATCTTTATAAAAGACCTCTTTTCTCTCTGACTTGTTTTCATTTCAATTTCTGCCTTGTGTTTCATTCATGCCTTATGAAAATTTTGTTCACAAGTTCGAAGCTTAGGCAATTGGATCGAGGTCTGGCTAGTGTAGTCTTTATAATCAAGTGAGTAACTGCTCAAACTCGAAGTAGGATAACCTTTAGGTCGTTATTAAGTGAGGATGATCCCTCGAACTTAAAAATAACATGGCCCTTAGGCTTTTTGAATTAGGCCGGTATGGCCTTGAAAGAATGGATTTTTTCCCTTTTCGGCTCAAAAAAGTTAATCATATAGAAATTTGTTATGTATTAGCATGAAATAAGGTTGTTCGAGAGTTCGAACAATCCGGTACCCCTTAGGGTTTTCAAGGGTTGATGTTATCGAAACCCTTTATAATTTTGTCGAGGGTAGCCCTTTTAACTAGTTTTGTGAAGAAATTAGAAGGCCTGTTTCATTACGGAATTCGGACATCTCCGAACCGTGTTAGTTTGGCCGTAGCCTTTAACTCGGGGTTTGCCTCTTGGGCTTGTTTCACGATTACAGTTCGAACTTGTTCGAAGTGTCAGTCCCCGAGTGGGGTGGCCGTGGCCTACAAAAATGAGGGTTGCCTTTTTAAGGTCTTATGATCTCGAGATTTTAGTAGTTCGATTACATCAAATTTTCAGACGGCAGGCCCCGAGTACAGGGTAAGTTGTTTGAACTTCAGTTGTGATTGACCCTTAAGCCTGTTTCCCCAACATACCAAAAGTACGAAATTGTAAAGTAAAAATTTCTCTAAGGCATGAAATATTTGGTAAGGAAAAATACTTCTCTCAATAGATTATACATGCGTACATGTTTGCCTTTAGGGCTCGAATAATCTACATGGGCACGGTTCGTTTGACTGTTTGGCCCTTACAAAGTTTTACCTATCGAGACCCTGTCGGCACGAAGTATCTACCTTGTAACAAAGTCGACATCCAAGGGTGATGCCCCCCAATATTCGAGGTTGATTATATTGAAGCCTCGGATACTATTGAATTGCTCTAAGTTAGCACGAACAATGGTTGCCTTATTAAAACCTTGCTGGAAAAACCCACTTGGGACAAAAACAAGTCTAAGGGGAAAAGAGTGCAACGCGGGCTTACAGACCTAAGGAGTTTGTGATGAAGAACCCTTTGACGTCTTCGATTGAACACCAGCAATTGGTTAGTATAAAATGTAAACGATAATGGGGAAGGTCGTATCTTAGCAGTAATATCGTTTGAGGAGTGACACATTCCAATTGTTTGGTAATTGCTCGCCGTCCATCGTGCCAAGTTTGTTGGATCCCTTTCCGATGATATCGAGGACCTGATACGGTCCCTCCCAGTTCGGGCCAAGTTTTCCTTCGTTTGGATCTCGATTGAGGGTGACCTTTCTCAAAACTAAGTCCCCGATTTTAAAGTGTCGAAGATTGGCTCTCCAATTGTAATACCTTTCAATCCGCCGTTTCTGTGAGGCCATTCGAACGAGGGCGGCTTCCTGTCTTTCATCTAGAAATTCGAGGCTCATATTCATAGCCTCGTGATTTGACTCTATCGTTGCATACCGAAACCTGAAGCTAGGTTCCCCGACTTCGACCGGGATCAGACCTTCGGTACCGTAGACTAAAGAGAACTTTTGCCCCCGTACTGGATTTTGACGTTGTTTGATACGCCCAAAGGACCTCAGGCAATATTTCTCTCTATTTTCCTTTAGTTTCATTCAATCTTTTCTTCAGATATCAGATGACGGTCTTGTTTGTCGATTCGGCCTGTCCGTTCCCACTAGGATGATACGGTGTTGATAGGATCCTTTTTATTTTGTGGTCTTCAAAAAACTTTGTCACCTTGCTGCCAACGAATTGCTTTCCATTGTCACATACGATCTCGACAAGCATTCCAAATCGGCATATAATGTGGTCCCAGATGAAGTCTATGACTTCTTTTTCTCTGACTTTCTCGAAGGCCTGTGCTTCAACCCATTTACAGAAATAGTCAGTAATAAATAAAATGAATTTAGCTTTACCTGGGGCCGATGGTAGAGGGACGACGATATCCATCCCTCATTTCATGAACGGCCATGGGGATAGGACTGAGTGGAGTTGCTCTCCCGGATGGTGGATAATCGGCGCATACCTTTGACATTTGTCGCACTTTCAAACAAATTCTTTAGTGTCCTTTTGCATATCAGACTAATAGTATCCTGCTCTGATGACTTTGTAAACCAATGACTCGGCACCAGAATAATTTCAGCAAGTGCCCTTGTGAATTTCGCATAGAACGTAGTTGGTGTCTCCTAGTCCCAAACATTTTGCTAACGGTCCATCGAACGTTCTCCTATACAGTGATCCATCCTCGGCCAATGTGAACTGTGCGACCTTCGTGTGTAGAGTCCTTGATTCTTTAGGATCCGACGGCAGCTTCCCGTTCTTTAGATATTCGATGTACTTATTCCTCCAATCCTAGGTTAGACTTGTGGAGTTTATTTCGGCGTGTCCTTCTTCGATTACTGACCTCGAAAGTTGTAAGACAGTCCCTGAGCTAAGTTCATCATCTTCTATCGACGACCCTAAATTTGCAAGGGCATTGGCCTCGCTATTTTTCTCGAGGTACGTGCTGCAGGGTGTATTGGTCAAAATTTGGACTAGACTTAATAGCTGCAAATGGACGTGGTCGAGGATTAAGCCGACCACGGCATAAGGGCGAGGAGTTGTCTTAAGAAAGATTAGTACCGAGGTCAAGTAAAAGGTGTATGAAAGTAACGGTAGGATAAGGTTAGAATAGAAAGAAGGAATATTCCATAGAAGATTCTTTCAGTTGTACTTTTTTAGCGTTTCTTAGGAATATCCCCTATAAATAGGAGGAGATAAAGAACAAAAAGGGGATCTTCACTTTTCTGATAAGAGCACATTGTAAAGGGTTGACTACAAAGAATACACAAAAGCTTGTCTTGTCCACTGATTACATTGTTCGATATACACTTTTTGTTTATAAGATCCAAAGATTCCTTGTCCATCTTCATTCTCTCTTACTCCACGTTGTTGTCAGGAAGGAGAATCATCCAAGTCATCTAACATTTGGGTGATAAATTCCTTCTTATTACATTCATTGCCATTATCTAGATTTATTACATGCTTTTATTACTATATTCATTGACAATCATTGAGCATTTGTAGTTGGTATACAACATTTTCGGATTCGGCCCTACATCATCAATACATCTAAACATTAGATCTAGTGGTTATTATATTTAACTAGGATTCACCCTCTATTTTCTCATTAATTCATTTTAAGAAAAGGTTTAGCACTTTTTTGGTAAAACACAGGGTCCATTCTTTAAATCGATGTAGAGACACTTGTAGTTTGTCCAAGTACCTCTGCATTTGATCTTCTCGAACCTCGAAAGTTCTGTTGACTTGATTTACCACAAGTTGGGAGTTGCACTTGGCCTCGATGACCTCCGCTCCCAAGCTCTTAGCTAGCTCGAGACCTGCAATCATGGCCTCATACTCGGCCTCATTGTTAGTTAATTTTGAAGTTTTGATAGACTGTCTAATTGTATTATTTGTGGGTGGCTTCAAAATGATGCCTAGCCCGGACCCCTTCACATTCAAAGCGCCGCCTATGAAGAGGGTCCACACCCCCGATGATGTAGGGCTGGCGTTAAGTCGGCCACGAAGTCTGCCAAGATTTGAAACTTGATGGTCGTTCGGGGTTGATACTCGATATCGTACCCGCTGATCTCGACAGCCCATTTGGCCAATCGACCCGAGAGTTTGGGCTTGTGCAAAATATTGCGAAGGGGATAGGTGGTTACAACACAAATTGGGTGACATTGAAAATACGGTTTTAATTTCCTAGAGGCGCTTATTAAAGCAAGCACTAATTTTTATAAGTGTGGGTATCGGGTCTCGGCTTCACCTAAGGTCCGACTAACATAATAGACAGGAAATTGCGTTCCTTGCTCTTCTCGAACTAAGACCCCACTTACCGCTATCTCCGAGACCGATAAGTATAAGTAAAGTTGCTCGTTCGCCTTCGGGGTGTGAAGAAATGACGGGCTCGACAGGATCATTTGAGCTCCTCCAAGGCTTGTTGACATTCCGGGTCCATGCGAAATTGCTCTTTTTCTTAAGCAGTGAGAAGAACCGGTGGCTCCTATCTGAGGACCTCGAAATAAATCAACCCGGGGCGCTTATGCGTCCTGTTAACCTTTGTAAAGCCTTGACATTATCAACAACAATGATGTCTTTGATTGCCTTGATTTTATTGGGGTTGATTTCGATTCCCCGATTTGATACCATAAAGCCGAGGAACTTGCCCGAACCGACCTCGAATGCACATTTCTTTGGGTTAAGCTTCATGTTGTACTTTCTCGGTATGTCGAAGGTCTCCTGCAAATGTTTTAAATAGTCCTCTGCTCGCAGGGACTTAACTAGCATATCATCAATATAAACCTCCATTGATTTACCTATTTTTTCTTTGAACATTCAATTTACTAGGCGTTGATAAGTAGCACCAGCATTTTTTAGTCCGAACGGCATTACGTTATAACAATAGGTGGCGTATTTAGTGATAAGCGAAGTCTTTTCCTGATCCTCTGGGTTTATTTATATTTGATTGTACCCGGAGTAGGCACTCGAGAAAACTAAGGATCTCGTGGCCAGCCGTGGCATCGATCATGCGATCGATATTTGGCAAAGGAAAGGAATCTTTAGGGCATACCTTGTTTAAATCCTTATAGTCTACGCACATTCTAAGTTTGTTTCCTTTTTTGGGGACTACAACTACGTTTGCTAACCATTCGGGATATTTTACCCTCCCGAAGGGATCCTATATTGAGAATTTTTGTTACCTCGTCCTTAATGAATGCATGTTTTACCTCAGACTGGGGTCTTCTCTTTTGCTTTACCAGGCGAAACTTCGGGTCCAAGCTCAGTCAATGCGTAGTGATCTCAGGCAGGATCCCTGTCATATCTAGGTGGGACCAAGTAATACAATCCATGTTATTTAAAAGGAACTGAACGAGTTTTTTCCTGAGCTCGGGAGTTAACCCCATGCCCAGGTATACCTTTCGATCGGGCAGATGCTCGATCAATACGATTTGTTCCAGCTCTTCGACCGTTGACTTTGTTGCATCAGAATCATCGGGGATTATGAAGGTTTGAGGTATAATATAATCATCTTCCTCGAAAGTTTCTTGCTCCTCCGATTGGGCCGAGGCCGGTGACTGTGGTTGCTATTTGACTTCTTGTTTTTTCTTCGACTCCGTTCCCTTTGTTGATGACAGCGCCGATACTGGTATTACCTCATCGATTGCAAACATTTCTTTTGTGGCGGGTTGTTCACCGTACACCGTTTTAATTCCTTTTGATGTTAGGAATTTGAAGCGTCGAGGGCACCGCTCTCATGTTATGAATCCAAGGCCTTCCAAGCAGCACGTTTACCTTATGTCACCTTCGATCACATGGAACTTTGTTTCCTGGATGGTCCCGGCCACATTTACTGGTAAAATGATTTCCCCTTTATTGTTTTCACTTGCCATGTTGAAGCCGTTACTCAAGCTGCGGGCACGATTTAATCTTGGAGACCGAGTTGTTCTACAACCCTTGATCGAATAATTTTTGCCGAGCTACCTGGATAAATCAACACACGTTTAACTTGAATTTTATTCATAAGGATAGATATTACCAGTGCGTCATTGTGAGGTTGTTCGATCCATTTTGTATCCTTGTCGTTGAAAGACAAGGTTTCTTCCGGTAAGTAGTCCCGAGTTCACTTTTCCCTTGTGATCGTCATCCTGGTACGTTTAAATACCGGCCCTTGAGGGATATCGACCCCTCCAACGATCATTTGAATAACATGCTGTGGCTCTTCCTGCTCGGTCTACCTGTTCGAATCCCTATTTTTTAAAGTGATTCTTGACAGGATCACTTAAGAATCCTCGAAGGTGACCCTCGTTGAATAAACGAGCTACTTCCTCCGTCAGCTGTCTGCAGTCTTCGATTTTGTGTCCATGGGTGCCATGGTATTTGCATATTTGATTAGGGTTCCTTTGAGCTGGATCATTCTGTAGGGGTCTGGGCCATCTAGTATCCTTGATTTGTCCAATGGCTGACACAATACCCGATACATTGATGCTGAAGTTGTATTCTGATAGTCGTGGTGCTTCTGTGGGTTCAACATGTTTATCGAAACCACTTTTACTCATGAGCCCTCGAGAGCTCTGTCCTCGATCATTCCTTCGATGATTTTGAACGGGATTACGACCCGGGCCGCTGTTTTTACAATCTGTGTTGTATGGATGGTACCGATCTCTATTCGATCGGGGTTCTTTGTCGATGTCCCTTTGAATTATGCCGACGGGCATGTTATAATAAACGGAACCGGAAGGGGTTCCCAATTGATCATCCTCGACCCTGATCTTTGACTGGTATCGATTATGTACATCGGCCCAGGTCACAACTGGATATTCAATTAAGTTCTGCTTTAGTTGTCGTGACGCTATCGAACTTCGTTCATTCAAACCTTGAGTGAAGGCTTGAATAACCCAATCATCTGTACCGGGGGTAGGTCCATGTGTTCTATCTGGAACCGAGATACGAATTCCCTTAACATTTCATTGTCCTTTTGTCTCATTTTGAAGAGGTCCAACTTCCTAGTCGCAACCTTTATTGCTCCGGCGTGTGCCTTTACGAAGGAATCTGCATGCATGGCGAAGGAATCTGCATGCATGGCGAAGGAATCGATGGAATTGGGTGGCAAATTGTGGTATCATATCATCGCCCCTTTCGATAAAGTTTCTCCAAATTTTTTCAATAGAACGGATTCAATCTCATCATCTTCTAAGTCATTCCCCTTTATTGCGCATGTATAAGAAGTAACATGCTCATTAGGGTCGGTGGTCCCATTGTATTTGAGAATTTCTGGCATACGGAATTTCTTCGGGATGGGCTCCGGAGCCGCACTTGGAGGGAAAGGCTTCTGCACTAACTTCTTCGAATCCAAACCCTTTAGAATCGGTGGTGCCCCTGGTATTTGATCAACCCGGGAGTTGTACATTTCTACCTTTTTGTCATTGGCCTCGATTTTCTTTTCACCTGATTCAATCCGTTTAGTGAGATCCTCAAGCATTTTCATAATGGTGGGTTCAGTCCCCGATTCATTGGCGTTCGGTCTCTCCAGTACAGGTTTGGCTCTATGATGTTTCGAGCTCAATTCTGCTTGGTGCTCGATTCTGATTTTGGAGTTGTGCTATCGCAGCTTGTTGAGTCTGCAACATCTCGAATATTATTCGAAGGCTAATTCCGCCTTCTTCACCGCCCTGTGCGTGTTGATCAGTTTCTCGAGCATCCCTGCGGATGCTATTCTCAGGATCGACGCCCAAATTAATAGCAATGTGGGAACTGACATCGACTGGGTCTATGGCCGGCGGTTCATCGGGGTTGACTGGAGGAACTCCGTTTCTTGGGGCGGCAACGTTTTCGTTCTCGCCATGGAGACCAAGGCCGTTATCCGTGTGAGTGGGTGCTACTTGAGAGTTTGACATGTTGATTCCTGAAATCAAAGACACTCAGGAGAACAAGCGTAAAGCAGTGTGTGTTACGAGAATTAATATCAAGAAATCACTATTATCCTTAGCCCCACGGTGGGCGCCAAACTGTTTACCCTAAAAATTAGATAACAATTAAACTTATCATGTGGCTCTATGGACACGTGATTTCACCTAATATCAATTGATGAGTATGAAGATCAATAATAGAAATTAATAATGAGATAAAGCAAACCAGTGTTGAAACGTAATTCAGCCCTCGAGCTTGAGTGCCCTCGAACTGGTCGGTACCCGAATAGTTAAGAAATAAGCAAATTGATGAACAAGGATATAAGCTAGACAGAAAGTATTGTATTGCTTTGATATGCGTAAATGTAAGGTGCCTACAAAATGATTAGAACCCTCTTTATATAGTAGAGGAATCCTATCTATGGTACAATTCTAATTACCGAAGTAAATTCCATGATTAGCCTAAACAACCGCCCTTGATTTGATCTGTTCCGAGATTTCCGCCACGATCTTCGACTAGTCACGGATATCTCGCTTTTCTATTATTGCACTTTGCTCGAAGTCTGCCCTATTTGGTCTCGATCGCTACTGGCCTCGATCTCGACAGGCACCTCGATTCTCGAACTCGGTACCTTGTCCTCGTGCTTTGGTCTGATCCACTACGAACCTTTGATGCAACTCCCTGGTCTCGATCAAATAGTAAAATCGGTAGGTCCGGTTTTAACCGAATACACACACATTGTCCAAAGGACCGAAATTCCCAATACATTTAACAAATTCACCCCAACCTTGGGAAAAAAGGGAGCGATTTGGCACTTGGCCCCCCCCCCCAGAAACGAAGCGGGCATAGCGCATTTGTTACCTATAACCAGGAGGCACAATGGAGAGGGATGAAGTATGCGTTGAGACTTGAGAGAAAGGGTGTCCCTTAGTTTTTTCTCTTCCCACCTGAATGTCAACTTCTTTAAATCTGTTCATAGTGTTCAAAATGCAAAAGCTGGAATGTTAAATAAGAATTTTATGCGCAAAGTCAAATGTAGAGAGGCCACAAGCAGAGACCAAATAATCGAGGGACTGAGCTTGCATCTTAACATCTATATAAAGGTTGTTTTTTTTTTTTTTTTTAAATGTTTTGGGGCTAACTTCTTCGGAATTGTTTATAAAATGCAAAAAGCTGTCTTACAACTTACAAGAGTTCTATGCTTAAATATAGAGAGACCAGGGAACGTACATTTGGGGACCGAGATTGCATTTTTTCTTCTCAACTCCCACTCCAAAGATATGTGACTTTTTCAAACGTTTACCACATCCTAGTAACACACTTATATTTATAATTTTCAATTATCGTGCAGAAATGTTCAAAGAGCGAGCAATACACTGTAAATATCAAACTTTTAATGCTCCTTATAGTATACAGCGGAGGCCGAATAAAGCTGTACATCAGAATCCGTATTATCCCATCCATAGGTGAACACCGACGTCTTTGCCACATAGGAACCAGTGAGAAGTTGAATCGTCTATTCTCATAGATTAATTCACACTTTCGAACAGCCAAGCTGGAACTTGCGGACTTTCATTCTCCCATTCAACGCAAGGGCTAATATGTCATATTCCTCCACATTCCAGAGCTCACTGACTGTTGCCTACAACAATTGAAGTAAACATTATAAATACAAAAACCAATTAAAATCAACCGCCAAATTCTTAAACAAAGTGAATATTCGGAAGCATTACATAAAGTTGAGATTGTTTTAATTCTTTGATTTATAATTAAGAACTACTTACACTTCTGTCACCCAAAAAAGAAAAGCAATATTGTCAGCAAACAAATAAAGGACAGAGTACAAAAACTCTAGGACATACCCTTGGCACTGATAAAATTTAGCAACGCTCAGCAGGCCAGAACAGGGTTCCTAAAATACTGCCACAGTCACAAGATACGTTCCCAAAACCCAATTAAAACTTAGTTTCCGTTTAGTTCTATCTTTTGGGAATACCGTAGCTATGGACCTCTATTATTGTAGCACGATAAATATCAGAAACCAATATATCAAGAGACCTAGATTCTTGTTAGAATCATCTCCGGTTTCTCCCCTCCAGTATCTGGTAGACTGCACAGAAAACGTTAACTTCAGTAGCAGAAAATGCTTTTCCATTAGTGACTTGATTAAGCCAAACTAGTTCTATATACTACGAATATGAGCTGCTATATGTAAGACATTGCTGTAGCAGTCTGTGCCAAATACACTTTGTAAAGTAACAAGCAAGGAGAGATGTTGAATTGACCCTCTTCATGAGCATTGCAGAGTGCAGAGGCTACAGAGCAGAGTCTCACAACTCTCCCGGTGTCTTAGTTATTGAAAAAGGTCAACCAAAGAATGACTGCCTTCTAGCTATCCTCAGGTGGCACCAGCCAATTTCAGCCATTCACTGTGTGCTTTTCTTAGTCCTAAAAGATTGCAAGCATTCTTGATAGAAATATCCCTCCGAGGCCATCTCCTCTCCATCTAATTGTTTGTGTTCCCCAGTACAAGGAAGCTTAGTAGCAGGAATGGCACTTATTAACACAGAGCATCCCTTGATCTTCTCCAGTTTGGGCAATGCCATTAATTATCAAAATCATGTTTACCACCTTAGACATCCAAGTCAAGACAAGATGCCTGAGTAAATTTGGTGCGACATATAGAGCACAAAGAGATGCCAATTATTGAACCAGAAATATGTTTCTTGTCATCTGCCAATGAGATACTGAATATGGGGTCTAATAAGTGGTCCAAATTTTAGCATCTTAGGCCCGAAGCAGTTATATGGTATGAACGACCAACAACAAATTCCCATGGTGTAGTAGCTCTATATGCACACCATCTGACCCAGAGAATCCTATTTGCAGGATGTCTAGAGCAGATCTTGCAATCAGCAACATTCCTTATTACAAGGCCATATAATCCCAAGCCACTGCTTCATCAATGCCTACAGCGAACGTCTCAACTTCTTTTACACTCCAGCTGTTCACCTCCAACACTTTTTCAAAAAAAGCTCTAAGGAGCTGTGTTATCACTTTGGAGGTTTTTTAGGTAAAATAACGGAGAGCAAGATTGGCTTCTATATGAAAGTGGGGAGACAAGATGACCACACACACTCAATATTGCTGCAAGTCTTGCAAATTGTCATCCCATTTTGAGATTCTTAAATTTAAGCTTCAAATTGTTTATTTCTTCTAAAAAACACACATTGAAGTGTACGGGAGAGCAAGCTTCGTATTCATTGCAAATGCACAATCATGAGCTCCAGATATGGCCAAGACGAGCACATCACCAGGGGGCAGGTCAATGCATTCATTATTAGGCAATAAGGGTTAATTTAGATAAAACCAAAATTACCTTAGTGCCATGGATTTTATTGTTTAACCTAGTCACGAGCTCATGGAGAAATTCGAGTTCTGAAACCCTATTTGCTTCCTGTGAAAAAACAAGAAAAACATTCACTTAACCAAGTGAATAATTTTTTCTGATGAAAATTAACCATGTGATAATACATGATAAAACTTTGCAAGGAAAGAGAAGAGCTCATGCTGAAATGATGTCTTATTGTAGTTTATTTTGACCTTAGACTGGGCAATTTCCCACAAATGCTAACAGTCTCATTAATTGAGACGCCCTCAGTCATGTTCTTGACTAGCTTGTAAGATATGAAATTTACTTCCTTCAAACAAGCATCATTGATCTATAGAAAACCTTATGCTACAAGTTCAAGTTAGAAACTTGGATTTCCCCTTATCTCCTCGCATTAAAGAAAAATGTTCTTCTCCTCAATAGAAAGATGCTAAATACTACGTGGCAAACTGAAAGTGTGGGAAGGATCTCTATCAAGAATTCAAGATTTTCTTGTTTTCCCCCATCCTCTTATGTTTTAAATCTTCTGTGAACTATGACAAGATGTTCAACATCCTGACTTTTTATAACTGCTACTAGTTAATATTAGTGTCGTTGCCTTTTAGTATCAAAAACAATGTGTCATAGGGGACTAAATAGTGACCTCCAGATTAAAGCATTAATGAAACAATGGAAGATTTGTATTCAGGCGACAGCTCAAAGATGCCAGTGTTAAACTACCTCAGGCCAGCTGCTAGGGTGTCCCAGAAGCCTGGCAAATGATGTATGAAGCATTGCAGCATCATACTGCAGCAACAAGAATGAGTAATTAGCAAATGCTTGAGATCTTGATATACTATTTTAACAGTTCTATTTTGAGAACACAAGACTTACAAATCAAAGCAAATAGTCCTAAAACTTAAGAGGGAATGAGACAGTGAGGGGAAGAACCATGCAGTAGCAATGACAGATTTGTCATTAAAGTGCATAAAGGTTTACTTCCCACATTGTTTGAGAATATGTGTCACTTTACTAGCAATAAGTGGTGAAGTGCTAAGACATTAGCATCTTCACCAAGATTTAAAGCAGAAAGGTTTGTTTGGCTCTCACAAGTTGCTTTGCAGGAGCATGTGGAAGAGCATTTCTCAATTTTTGTCGGATAGTTACAGGATCAGTTCCAGAGTCCACCTACAAATGAAAACACGAAAGTGTAAAAAGGAAGGGAATGCAATTTCACCAACTTATATCTCTGTGAATTTTCTTTTGAACTTAATGATTTCAGCATATGATAACCATTGCAAAGTGGTGCACCATTTGTAGAGTACCATTTGAATTTTGAGTCAATCATACGCCAGTCATAAGGGGAGACGAACAACATCAACAAATAAAAATTGATAACTCATTGTTAAGGCCATTGAGATAAGATGTTCATGATTAATGAACAAGGAAAAAGTCTCTGTCTCATTTATGCCACAAGATACACCCAGGTAACTACACATCCTTTATATTGAACATCGTTAAAGCGAGGTATGTCTTGCAAACGTAACTATGTATCTCTTGATAATGAAATAATTGGTACAACACTACTTGTACATATGATACTAAACCACTAGTTGGAAAAGTAGACCTAAAATTCAACTTACACATAATATTCTGAAGTCCCAAACTATGTTATATGGATTCCTATACTTTGTACCACTAAGGGTGTGGGTGGTATCCGGTATGAGAATGTGCAAGTTCCTTTGCTAATTCTTAGCATATCTTGAATAATACAAGATACCCATAGCCATGTCACACCAACACAGATATCGATGCAGATGAAAGATCCATGTAATGTAAGTCCTTAGCCATCTCTTTGCCAGCATAATATGACATACAGTGCAAAACTATATGCAAAAGGCAAAAGTTTCTCTTGCAACTGCCTAAGAAGAAAGTTTGATACAACAATATATCTTGAAATGATAGAGGAAAGAACTAAAACTGCAGTGGTGGGCACTAGCAGTATGCTTATCTCAAATATATAAGTACTTTTTTGAAGACTTCCTGAAATACTCCAGAGAGAAAGATCTATCTTCATATAATTGGAGAGGCAAAGACACCCTAGTAAGCCAAGTGTCAACATAATAAAAAGCCACTTGGCTATTTTAGGACAAAATTAGTTAGGCCAGGTAATAATTATATTTTCTTTGAATTTAAATTTTAAAAAATAAAGTATGCGCTATGTGTTATTTTTGAATTTGAAAAATTATGTACCATAGCAAGGTTTCTTGGTCGGTCGGCCAAAATGTTCTCCGAGGGATATATATCTATCAAATTAGGCAACTTTTCAACGTACTAATTATATTATTACTCATCTGTTTTCATATTGTTACACCAATATTTATCAATTGACGGGTTTTTATAATAACATATGATAATATTTCGATTATATGTAACATTCAAAATGAAAAAAACTAATTGTAACATTACAGTAGAAAAAAATTACAAAGATGAAAACAGAGATAATATGAGGATATTTTAACTTTGAATTAATTTATAAAATAAAATAAAATAAATAAAACACAAAGATATTATTGATAAATATAGAAAATTGAAGTATTGTGAACAATAACTATATAATGTGTATCCTTTGATTTTGTATAGATTTTATTATATTTCTATACACTATATTAATTATTAAATAATAAAATAACAACTAATATTTATAAAAATAATATAATACATTAGATCATAATTTTATAAGATTAATATTTTGTCAAATTAATCGCGCATTGTGCGGGTTCTAACACTAGTTAAGAGAAAGAGAGGGAAAGATCGAGGTTGCTTGACAGACCTGCCAACAACCTACTAGCACCCCAGTTGATGTTAGAACCACTCTGTCCAGGGAAATTTTTATTGGGCAGATTGTCTCAGAAACAGCTCGAACAGCATTTGCTTCAGCTTCAATCTGAGGAAACACTGAACAGTGTCAGTTCATCAACATAACAGTTCAATGAGAAGAAAGGACATAAACTAAAATTTCATCCAAAAGCATTTTTACCTGTGCTTCAGAGGCAGGGACAGCTGTTATGTGATGTGAAGCATGGAACATGCTAAAGTGATATAAGCTAGAGTTCTGAAGCCAAATTGCTAAGCAACACGCATATAAGCATCCCAATTGATAGAATAAGAGATAATCAGCATTTAACTTATTCCTCCAATAATAATCATTAAAAAAGACATCATACCTTTATCAAAATGTGGCGAGAATACAGCTCTCACAGCTTCCCTGTACAGAAACAGATGAAAACAAGTGTGAGTGTAGGAATTTCAAGTTCAATATGAAAAGTAGAATCATGCATATTGAACAAAATTGTAAAGCTACCAACATTCTCCTTCAACATAGGCCAACTTGGCTTTCTTAAGATTAGCTAAACGTAACGGTTTTTGCTTCAGCGAGAGATGGAAATTTTTGTGGCTGATTTTGTCCAGAGAAATCAACATGCTGTACTTACGCAATAGGGACAGAATATTCTGGTTTGAGATACAAAACATTTGCTCGCACAGGGGGATTTGCAGCCTATACACAGAAGGAAATTAAACACCTTAATTGAGACACGACAAACAAGCAAATGGCTGAATGCTGCTTAATAAGTGAGATTGACCTTGAGTACAGGAGTGACTACTCCATCTTTGAGAGTAAACAGATCTGACAGGGTAAGTGATTGAGTAGTTTCTCCCTGTTTGAGGAAAGCAGCTCCGTGCTCCTCCAAGTCTTTTTCCATCTTATGATACAATCTAGACCTCTGCTCCGCATTTGAGATAGACCATTCTGTTCCAACCATTTAATTATTTGTCAATTCAAGTAACAGAAATAGCTTCTTTTTGTGTCTAACACATAGCTAGCTGTGATATTTAAAATGGTTTCTCCATATATTAGTTCCCAAAGATGTTATATTTTCTTCTGGATTACATGCTAAAAAAACCAGAATTCAGTGTTGCCAACATCTCCCTTTAAAAAGGGAGAAAATCTTCTTTTCTGAAGTAGATTCAGTAAAGGAGCATCCAAATGACACTGCATTTAAATGTATAATCACTGGTATAAGGAAAGGAATGCTTTTCCACTAAAACCACTTATCAAAAATAAATAAATAAACTAAATACTCCTCCACAACAACCATAAATAAAACAAGCATAACGAGCAATTTACAGAAAACTCGCAGCCTCAATTTTCATCTAGATGAATAAGCAAAAAGCCCCAAATTCAAGTCAGAATCTACCATTTTATTCACATTTAAAAAAAAAATATTTCTTTAAAAATAAAAAAACTTTTTGGGTTTTATATAGAGAGAATTACAGTTACCAAAATCCTTCATTTGAGATGTATCTATATCTGTCTTTTACACTGCCTATGTCAGTATATATAAATTCAGGCATGGAAAGAGTGTTTATATATACTACTACTAATATATATGGAAAGTCAATCCGAGCTAATTAATTAAGGATAACAAGAAGCTAAATTATCGGCGGAGAAGCAGATAAGGAAATAGTAATATAGAAAATGTACTTCAGATTAAGAAATAAAGTACTAGTAAACTAAAGAATCAATTTAAGTAATTAATTATTAACTTACTCGATATAAGCATGGGGATATCTGATTACACAAAAACCATAGCAATTTTTACCAAAAATAAAAGGAACAACTTGATGAATATAATCTACATTACAATTTACCTGTAGAATTGCGGGTAACCATAAGGAAAAGAGCATAAAAGGTAAGGGCAGAGATTAACCAGATCCAAATCACCGGTTTCGAGCAGTTTCTAGCCCTAGCCATTTTTGTCCAACGGATTATATTCATTCATTATCTGCCCAAATTTCACTTTAGTTTTCCACAGATCAATTCATTACCTTTTTTTAATCAGCACTTAGCGTCAGCTCTCCAACTTCACTCTCCGTCACTGTTCATTCATTTCATGCTCGTCCAACACCTGTCAACTTATTAAAGTCGATAATTTCTAACTGAAAGTCACTTTTTTTTTTTTTTTTTTAATAATTCTGACTTTACCTTACAATTCCTCAATATTATTGTTTACAAATTGTGATTTACAGTAGACTTTATCTTGTTTCTAAGTATACAAATTTTATTCCGAAATATAAATAAATAGATAACAAAATTCACGCTGAAATTAGACGCAATTATCCTAGCATTTCAACTTTTCCTTCTTTCAATGAAAAGTCTTTGGAAATTGACTTCGAATATATTACATAAGCAACAAAATTCAGCAAAAATTAGCTTATTTTGAAAAGTGTTATTTCTCAAAAATACTTTTCGAAAAAAAACTTTTGGAGAGAAGTAATTTGTGTTTGGCTAATTAGTTTGTAAAATATTTCTGAGCAGCAATTAGTGTTTGACCAAGTTTTTAAAAATTGCTTGTAAGTGTATTTTTCTCAACAGTGCTTTTGAAGACAAGCTACTTTTTTCTGCTTCTCCAAAACTGCTTCTGCTTCTCCTCAAAAGCATTTTTTTCTTCCAAAAGCTTGGCCAAGCACTTCAACTTTGAAAAAAAAAAATACTTTTTTATGCTTGGGCAAGCTTCAAAAGCATTGCGTTTGGCTAAGCTTTTAGCAGGAAAAAAGTGTTTTTGAGTAGGAGCAGGAGCAGGAGCAGTTTTGGAAAAGCAGAAAAAGTAGTTTCTCTTCGAAAACACTTTTTTTGAAAAACACTTTTGAGAAAAAACAAGCTTGGCCAAACGCTAATTGATGCTCAGAAGTATTTTTCAAATTAATTAGCTAAACACAAATTACTTCTCACCAAAAGTACTTTTGAGAAAAGCACTTTTAAAAAAAAAACACTTCTCAAAATAAGCTGATTTTTGCAGCTTGGCCAAACATGCTATAAATCTAGAAAAAGAAAAGGAGATTGTTCAACATAAATTTTACAATTTGAATATAAGAAAATGATCTTGCAAAAATTCCTTATATATTATTTATTTATTAATCTTTTGCGTGTAAAAAATAAAGATCTCTTGAGATAATTAATACTCTATAAAAACTAATAAAATTACAATGAACCACAAAATCAATTGACTCCTCTAAAATATAGCAGCAAAATAACTTTGATCCTTTACTTAAAAGTATTACCACGCGTTATCATCGTATTCAATTTATTTTATGATTTTAAGGTACTTTTGATTATTATAAAATCGTATTTGAGGATCATAGTAAAATGTTATGTTCAGCATCTAATAAGGGTCATGGAGCATGTCTTCTTCTGTCACGACCCGGATTTTCCATCCTCGAAGTCGTGATGGCACCTACTAGTGAAAGCTAGGCAAGCCAACTATTTCGATTAGTTTACTCTTTTTACTTTTAACCTCTTAGCAAGCGCAAGTTAACATATTATAAACAGTAGAAATAATAAAGCGGAAGAACGAAATTTAACAGTTTAGCTAATACCAATACGAATCCATAAGCATAAACCGCCCAGAAATGGTGTCACAATCTCACGGACTATCTAAGAATACTACAAACAGGGTCTGAACAAAATAAATACATGTCTGTCTCTCAAATAGAAAAGAACAGAATGAAACTAGACAGCAAGGTCCGTATGCTCCAGTACCGAAATCTGCACAAAAGAGTGCAGAGTGTAGTATTAGCACAACCGACCCTGTGTGCTGGTAAGTGTCGAGCCTAACCTCGGCGAAGTAGTGACGAGGCTAGGACACAACAAATAATTAACCTGCAGTTATACAGTACCTAGCAGAATAACAGTAACAGAAGTAATGTAAAAATAACGGGGGAGGGGTAACATGCTATAGGGGAAATACCAATATAAAGAATGACAGTGATAGTAGAATAAGACAATTAAGGCAATTGAACCGAAAACAACAAGAAATCATAACAAACAAGCAATAAGTGCACGGCATCACCCTTCGTGCTTTTACTCTCAATCCTCACCAATGCAATCAAGTAATGAAAATGTGCACGGCATCACCCTTCGTGCTTTATCTCTCTTCCTCACCATGTAAATATTAGAAATGTGCACGGCATCACCCTTCGTGCTTTATCACTCTTCCTCACCATATGCATCAATATCAATATACATGTACACGGCATCACCCTTCGTGCTTTATCTCTCTTTCCTCACCATATGCATAAATATGAATGTGCACGGCATCACCTTTCGTGCTTTATCACTCTTTCCTCACCCAAACAATAGCAACAACAATATCCTGGCAAGGAAATCAACAATGAGTACAAATACGTCCCGGCAAGGGAATCAACAATAAGAATTAAATACGTCCCGACAAGGGAATCATCTATAACCAAACTTGTACCAATGATCAACTTCACCATTTCACCTCAACTAGAGCCAATGCTCAACAATAACCAAATACCAAGAAGAAAGTCATAAATCTTACTCAACATGGATAATCAACAATTTAGGCATACGTAGTACTTATTAAGAAACACAACGATCACAATTTAAGACCCACGGGCATGCTTGACACCAACGTATAGATACTCGTCACCATACCTATACGTCATACACTACACTAACACATAGAAAATAAGGCACAACACCTATTCCCTCAAGCTAAGGTTAGACCAAACACTTACCTCGATTTCCACGGCCAACTCAAGCCTCAAACACCGCTTTTCCTTTAGAATTCGCCTCTAATTTACTTGTATCTAACCCAAATTAATTTAACAACATCAATAAATGCTAAAGAATTCAATCCCAATGCTAAATTATAGGTTTTCTATCAATTTCTCCAAAAAGTCAAAAATTGACCCCGGGCCCGCTTGGCCAAAACCCGATTAGCCATTCACCCACGAACTCAAATATATAATTTGTTTTGAAATCGGACCTCAAATCGAGGTCCAAATCCCCAAAATTTGAAAATCCTAAGTTCTACTCAAAATCACCCAATTTCCTATGAAAAACCCTTGATTTTGAGTTGAAATCATGTAAAAAGATGTTATAGATTGAAGAAAATGAGTTAGAAATGACTTACTAATGATTTGGAGAAGAACTTGTCTTTGGAAAATCGCCCAAGAGAGTTTAGGTTTTGAGAAAGTTTGAAAAATGAAGAAATTTCGTCTAAGTTATAAGTTGCACAGGTGCAGATATCGCATTTGCGATGTCATGTTCGAAAATGCGAACTCGCAATTGCGGCCCAGGCTTCGTAAATGCAAACTCGCAATTGCGGCCCAGGCTTCGCAAATGCGAAGGTAGGTCTGCCCTGCTTTCTTCGCAAATGCGAACAACTGTTGGCAATTGCGGTCCCTACTGAAGTCGCATTTGCGACATTGAACTTCGCAAATGCGAAGGTCTCCCTGCCCGACCCATCTTCGCAAATGCGATATTTCATCGCAAATGCGAGCTCGCATTGGCTTCGCAATTACGAAGCCTGCAGACCTGCAACACACCAGCAGTTTTCCTAAGTCCAATTTTACTCCGTGGCCTATCCAAACCAAACATGCACACTAACCTAAAAACATCATACGGACTTGCTCGCGCGATCGAATCGCCAAAATAACACCTCGAACTACGAGTTTAGCATCAAAATCAAAGAAAAATCTCAAGAACTCTTAAGTTTCAAATTTCACAACCGAGGGTCCGATTCACGTCATATGAAGTCCGTTTCTTACCAAATTTTACAGGCACAACTTAAATACCATATAAGACCTATACCGGGCTCCGGAACTAAAATACGGGCCCGATACCATCAAATTCAAACACATTTAAATTTCCAAAAACTCTTAAAATTTCAGTTAAATAATTTTTTTGAAAAATTCATTTCTCGGGCTTGGGACCTCGGAATTCAATTCCGGGCATACGCCCAAGTCCCATATTTTTCTACGGACCCTCCGGGACCGTCAAATCACGGGTCTGGGTCTGTTTACCCAAAATGTTGACCGAAGTCAACTTAAATTTAATTTTAAAGGCAAAATTAGCATTTTTATCAAATTTTCACATAAAAGCGTTTTGGATATACGCCCGGACCGTGCACGCAAATCGAGAAGAGATAAAATGAGATTTTTAAGACCTCGGAACACAGACTTGACTTGTAAATCAAGTGATGACCTTTTGGATCATCACATCTTCTTTTCCCCGTCCCTGTTGATTGTGAAAGTACAAGAGGGGGGAGTGAATTGATGATTTTTATTTTCAGTACTCTAAGTAGTTGACTAGTTTACCAATTAGACGACTAGATTTAATAATAGAATAATAATATCACGACCCAAAACCAACCCGTCGTGATGACGCCTATCGTGGAACTAGGCAAGCCAACTACTCAACCATTTCAATACATCAAAGCTTTGAAAATATGGTAAAAGTCAGATAATATTTAGGAAAAACCTTTTAAAAAGCAGAATAACATTCGTAACTCAATACACAAACTCTCCCAAAATCGAAGTGTCACCGAGTACACGAGCATCTATACAGGGATATAGTCTACTGTAACGTCAAAGGAATAAGAACTGAAATATAAGTAAAGATAAAGAAGGAGAGTCAAGGTCCGCGAACGCCATGCAACTACCTCAATAGTCTCCAAAGATCCTGACTCTACACTCAGCAGCCGCCGTGACTGGAAGCACCTAGATCTGCACACGAGGTGCAAGGTGTAGCGTGAGTACAACCAACTCAATAAGTAAAAAATCCAAACTTTGGACTAAAAGTAGTGACGATCTCAACCGACACAGTTCAATATATAAATAGTAGTGCAGAAACCTAGACATACTTTCAAGTTCAGCAATTAAACCCAATACAGTAAGATAGATCAAATCTGACTGATATGAAGAATATAACTCCTTTACTTCTACATTCCAATGCACATGCTGTATGTGATGCACCATGCTAACAGCCTCATGTGCCCACACTCTCGAAATACCCAATCACTCAGTACTATATATAGCCAATCCGACCCAAGGAAGATCTATCCCTGAATATATACATCAACTGACCATCAGTCAC